GCAGCCGCCTTCACCGGGTGGAGGCTGAGCAGCCGGTCCTCTATTCCCAGGGAAATGCAGGGCCTGGGAGCAGCCGCAGAGGGAGCGGCCTTGGCGGGCCCTGAGTGTGGCTGTCAGAGAGATGCTGCATTTTCCGCTGGCACGATCCTCTGGTGGGGTCTTTTTAAATATACCACAAGTGAAGGACAGCCCCGGCCCTAACCATGGCCAGCTGCAGGCGCACAGCGGCCGCTTGTTCTCCCGGCAGCTGGCCTTGACACGGTGCCCAGAATACAGCAAGCTCAGCTCCCCAGCCCCCGAGGCCCGCCCTCCGGCTCCATGCCTGGCGGTGCTTGACGATCCCCGCTGGGTCCAGCACACAGCAGCTTTTCCTAAACCACAGAGGGGGCCGACGGCCTCCTTGCCACAGACACTGGTGGCCTCTCAAGGGGGTGGGGTTCTCACCACGGGTTGTTGGGAGCTTTCAGAGGCTCTTCCTGTTTGTCTTATCTTCCCATAATGAGTCTTTTTAGTATTTATTCATGAGGATAAGCTGGAGGAGTAGGGGTGAGGGCATCATGTGACAGGCAGCTTCTGACAGCCTGCAGGATCGGGCAGGCAAACTTCTGCATAGTGGGTGGATGGTCACGTGTGTGATCCAGAGGGGCACGGAGCATGTGAGTGACAGGTGTGAGGAGCTTGCAAAGCACCGCAGTCGGTGTGAGAGCATCAGGACCTCGGGGAGAGCAGGGAAGAGAAGCTGCGTCCAGTGACCGTCTCAGTGTGGCTGCTACGCATAGCCCAACCCTGATAGAGCCAGCACACGACTCCGCAGCCCAAGGTCCGTGTGTTCACACCACCCTGCACCTTAAAGCCGACCACAGCCTGTACGCCAGTTACACAGCAAGCTACGTGCTTCGGGGTTATTATCCCCATTTATGGAAAAGCAAGCTGAGGCAGAGGTTTGGAAGGGCGAGCAGAAGGGATGAAAAATAAAGAGATGAGGGAAGGTTGTGTGCATCCGCTGCCCGTTATAACGTGTTCTCATTGGATGCACTGGCCCGGTCAGGCAAGTATCCTCACTTTTTTTTCTCTCTCTTTTTTTTAAGAGGGCTATCGGGTGTGTGCGTTCACCAGAAAGAGAGAGACAGAAAGTGAAAAATCACCCCCCAGAAGGGATAGCCACCTGGCAATCCCTTCTCCTCCATTCTCCTCTCAGGATCTTGGGCACAAACACACACACATGCACTCACGCCAGGTGTGAGTTTAAGCCACCAGGGCCGGGACTCAAACTGCAGTCAACTACATGGGAATCTAACAACATAGCCATTATGGCAACTGCTGGTCCCAGTATTCTTGCATTTTTAAATGAGGCCCAGAAGTAACTCAACCCAGAACTTCATTACTGGAAAATGGTTAAGACAGATGATCTTCTGGAGCGAAGTCTTACGGGGTGAGTGGAGCTTGGAAGCCAGTTAATAGAGATTTACCTAGCAAGCGCTAGAGACACTGCACTCCCTCAGCATGGATGTGTGGTTTCTCCCTCCTCTGCTGCAGGGGGCCGTTCGGCTCTCGGTCAGGCAGCTGGGCAGCTCTGCCGAGAAGTGTTTTGCAAAAAGCAGAAGACACAGCCCTGCTGCTCATTTGAGGAACAGATCAGGCTGCACAGTAGGAAAGACAGTCAGAGAGGAAAACCCTAAAGCTTACAGAGGTTTTCCCGTAGCGCCTCATTTTGTTTTGCTCCACCAAACATTCAGGGCAAATATTAATGTCCTCCACATACTGGATGAAGAAAGGGAGGCTGAGAAGTTCTGTAGCCTGAGGAAGGGCACAACTGGAAGGAACTCAGGAAGATAGTGAAGTCTACTTTGTTGTGTGACGCTTGGCTGGTTTGTTGTCACTCTGGTAGGAAGCTAGTGAAATGTTCAGCTCAAATGGTATTTGCGCAGAAAGTCTCCACTAGAAGCCAATCACGTGATACGCACACTGTTTCTCTGAGGCTGGTTGAGAAAGAATAGGAGACTTGGCCCTGTCTCTGAAATAAAGCTTCGCGGCCCAGTGGACACGACAGAATAGTCCACAGAACACACAAGAGCTGATTGGGAGAGGTGGTGCTCATTTAACCAGTGCTTCGAAACCTAGATCCAGAGTCCGGGGGAGCCTCATGACTCGGATCACTCTAGACTGCGCTTGGAGCCCAATGACTCAGGCAGGGAGGACAGTAACTGCAGACCTCCTGCTCAGCTGTAGACACTCGGCCAGGCTGGCACAGTGTAGGGGCCTGACATGGACTCGCAAGACCTGGGGCCTAGCCTGTTTCATGCTCAGGTTGAGTAATTTACTCAACTGTATGTCTTAGCCTCGGTCTTCTCATCTGTAAAATGGGGGAGAAGGAGTCGGCCTGCCTCCCAAGGCTATTCAGATTTGTTCTCAGAGCTTTTAGGTTGTTTTGTTGTCTTTTATTTTATCTTAATGTAATGAGCCGATGTGTTAAATGGCTCAAGAATCTGCAAAGCAACCTTCAGTGGCAGGTATGATTTCTGGAGGAAGGGGACAGACGCTCAGGGCTAAGAACCTCCTATGAGGTGACCAGCCTACCAGTGGTCAGGTCAGGCCTCAGGTCCACATTTGCCATAACTGGGAAGGGCCGTACTAGCATATGAGAAGCTCAAGTTTAGAGCAGCGGCGATCAGCCCGGTACGGAATCTGACCTTTCTGCTATTATTTGTGATCTTTTGTTTCTGTTGATGTTTCAAATAACAATAAAATCTGGCATGAGATTTTTACATTCATCAGAAAAGGAGCATAAAGGAATATTACAGGTGCTGGCCCTAGATGCTTCCTCTGTGGGCACACAGAGGCAGGCCGCTGCCCTGGAACGCGAGTGCTCAGTCAATTTGCCACGGCCCTAACTAGGAAGCTGCCAGCAGTACCCTGCCCCACCCCCGGTCTAAGGGGCCTCGGGGTACTCCCTGATCTCTCTCCCCTTCCAAAGAGGCCGGTGCCATTCATTCTAGTCTGATTCTACCTGCGTGAACAGGCGGGGATGGGTGGAGAGGCACGTGGTGAGTCACCTCCCAACCCCAGACCTAGAATAGCCTGAGAAGGTTTCCAGATGTGCCAGAATTACGTGGAACAAACCAGGCAGGCTTCAGTGTGAACACTCGCTTCAATTTCATGGAAAAGTTTTGTCATACTGGATAAAAATGAGGACTTCCAGGGACCAGCAGATGGCGTAATCGCTATGTCACTGGACTCCCATGTAGTTGATCGTGGTTCAAGTCTCCGATCCGGTGGCTTAAACTCACGCCAGGCACGTGTGCGTGTGTGCCCAAGATCCCAAGAGGAGAAGGGATTGGGGTGTGGCCATCCCCCTTGGGGGGTGATTTCTGTCTCTCTGTCTCTGTCTTTTTGGCAAGCGCACGTGCCCTATAGCAGAAACCTCTCCAAAAAAAAAAAAAGA